AAGAACAGCTCTTCCTGCACCCTTTCACCAAGCCCACGGGGGCATGAGTAAGTCACTTGATGCAAATCAGAAACTCATCTTCAAGCACAGCCCCATTGCAGCAGGTTAACACAGGTGCCAGCAAAAGAAGCTTGGGAGAGGAGCAAGCAACTGCAGGAGGGTAAGAGATGATTTGTGAGGTGCAGAAGAAAGACCGCTTAAGCTGGTCTCTGCCACAGGTCAACTCACCCCTCCCTGTCCTGCTCTTAGAAACTGAATGAGTGCTAAATGAAATTCTCTCTTAATCCACAAAGCAAATGAGTGGGGTGTCCACACAAAGTAAAGTGTGGGATGAAGAAGTACAGTAAAACGAATGGGAAGTTTTTAGGTTGGGATTCTTTGTGGAGAATATAAGCTTTATGCTTTATATTAAGGCTTTAAATCAATCTTTAAAAGAGAGAGAAATTAAGAGGGAAGTATAATAAAAACTGAAGGATGTGGTGAAGGTCAAAGTGAGAAAAACTGCAGAAGTAATGAACTTTTCGCATTCAAGGCTGAGACTAACCAGAGTACAAGATCAGACAGGCTAACCACAGGGTCAACAAAATCAGGCTTTGGTTAAGATCGAGTGTGTTGAGAAGTGTCTGGTATTTGCCATATTTGTACTCATTTTATTTTAGAGATTGCAGTTTAGAAGACCTGTTTTGTTCCAAAAGAAGGACCCACTGAGGCAGGTTTTGTGTATGCTGAGGTTCTCACCCACAGGTGATTCTTCACAATGTAAATCTAAAACTTACACAAGACTTTGTCCAATAGTTGGCTGCTCCATAGTGTCCCTTGATACGGTTTCTTTTACCTGACTTTTACACGTTGAGATTATTTTGTTATGCTTAAACACTAACAACATGCTTTTCTTTAAAATACTACTTGTGATGCTTTTTTTTTTTTTTCCCCTTAATTCATTGTCTTTGTTCCATAGGTGATATTTTCTATAAAGCTCTTTTAAAACTCCTCTGGAGGTTTTGGCATTTACGCTCACTAGATCTCAGTTCATCAACTCCATGGGTCTCTATCAGATTTGGGCAGCAGGCAAGAAAAGAGGAGAGATTTATATTATTAGTGTTAGTATAACAAACTCATATCTTGACTCTAATAAAGTGAGCATTTAAAAAGCTGTGTTTAATGTGACTAAAAGTGTTTTTTTTTCTTACCCAAGCCAGCCCTGTGCTATGAAGTTCTCACTAGGGCAGCAGTGACCATGGCAGGCTACTTTCTTGCAAGGCTTCATACATGGCAGTGGAGGAACAGCAGTTTTCTAGAGTAAGCCACTTTATCTCAGTTGATTTGGCTGCTCTTGAATTTATGACAATTATCAAGGAAAAACACCAAGTTCAAGATCTAATTGTTTTAAGAGCTAATAGCAAGATGTCATCAAGCAAAGAATTAACTGAATACTTAACACCCATTTCAAAACTGGCAGCAAGGCTCCAGTGTGAGCTGGAGGGCATTTTCTGCCATTCTAGCAATAGTTATCATTACAGTGCCTGTACAGTTATGTTCTTGCCCTGGACTTCACATCTCTTGCCAAAGCAGAAAGACACGGTAAGACTCCACGAGATAAGCAGAATAGCAAATACAACATTCTGAATAACCTTCCATCAAGAAATAGAAAAGACAAAGTATTCATTCAAAAGGCAGATCCCTACTTCATCTTGTTTTCTAATCGAGAATTTGAAAATAACTTAAAATCAGTTATGGGTTGGCATCTACCCATACAATCAGAGAAACCAACTCTTTGCTATGACCTCAGAAACAAGGCTCATGGCACAATGAACCAGGCCCTTGGGAGTCCAACTCAAGCCTTCATGATGCTGGAAGTCCTCTCAGGATTTGAGTGGAAACACTTTGCTGTCCTACCTGGGTAGCTTCTGCTCCAGGTAAGTGCAGGCCAAAGGCAATGCTCAAGCTGAGCACAGAGAGCTATGGGGATGGAACAAGATGAAGGAGAGGGAAGGAAGGGGAAGTGTCATGCACAGACTCACAGGCTTCTGCTGGTGGAGCCAAAGGGCTCACTTGCCACCTATTCCATACTGCTAGCAATGCACACTGCTGATCTCTCAAGGGTTCTGAGGCACAAGCAGGATTTCAGAGCTGGAGGGAGCAAGGGCTGATTCCATTACTACAGGGAAGCTGGAAGCCAGTATATGTAGCATGCACTTTCTCGGCAGCTGTAGTTAAATTGCAGACCCACAGGGAGATGCTTCCTGGGGCAAGCACTCCAGGATATACAATATGTCTAAATTATTCATGCCTAAATTCACTGGCCCAGAACCGTACAGCTCCAGACCTGGTGTCTCCCACAGTGTTCTGGAGAAGCTGGCAGCCCATGACCTGGACAAGTACACTCTTTGCTGAGTAAAGAACTGGCTGGATGGCCAGGCCCAGAGAGTGGTGCTGAATGCAGTTAAATCCATTTGGCAACTGGTTATGTGTGGTGTTCTCCAAGGGTTGATATTGGGGCCTGTCCTGTTCAATATCTTTAATGATGACCTGCTAGAGGTGCACCCTCAGTAAGTTTGCAGATGGCACCAAGTTGGGAGAAAGTGTCAATCTGCCTGGGGAAAGGAAGGCCCTACAAAGGGACCTGGACAGGCTGAATAGCTGGGCTGAGGCCAAGTTCAACAAGACCAAGCGGAGTGACTGCAAGATTGTGTGGAGTAAAAAGATAAGGGGGTGTTGGTCGCCTCTCAGCTGAACGTGAGCCAAGAAGACCAACAGCATCCTGTCTTGTATCAGAAATAGTATGGCCAGCAGGAGCAGAGAGATGATCACCCCTGTATTCAACTCTGGTGATGCCACACTTTGAGTGCTGTGTTCAGTTTTGTGCCCCTCAGTACAAGGAAGACATGGAGAACCTGAAGCATGTCCAGAGTCTGAAGGGCAACAAAGGTGGTGAGGGGTATGTAGCACAGGTCTTATGGGGAGCAGCTTAGGGAGCTGGGATTGTTCAGTCTGGAGAAGAGGAGGATCAGGGGAGACCTTACTGTTCTCTACAACCACCTGAAGGGAGGCTGTGGCAAGGTGAGGGTCAGCCTCTTCTTCCAGGTATCAGAAATAGGATGAGAAGGAATGGCATCAAGGGAGGTTCAGGTTAGATATTAGGAACAAGTTCTTCTCTGAAAGAGTGGTGAGACCTTGGAACAGAGGTGGTTGAGTCATGGTCCCCATAAGTGTTCATAGCTGTGTAAAAGTTGTACTGAGGGACATGGTGAGTGAAGAATATTGGTGATTGATGGACAGTTGGACTAGATCTTGGAAGTCTTTTCCAAACTTGGTGATTCTATGATCCTCTGATTCTATAATTCTGTGGTCACGCTGCAGTGTAACACAGACAGTCTCCTAGTCCTTTACTTCACAGAGGAATCTCTGCCATTTTCAGGCATTTCACATTCAGCTCTAATCTATCTGCCATTCTTGCATATAAAGAAGCATATCTGAAGCAATAATTAACTTGAAAGCCATACTCTTTCAATTACGCAGTAAGACAATCCTCAGCTCTAATGCATTTCAGCAGAGAAAATGAAAGCGTGGGTCATAAAACAATTCACTCATCGAACATCCATCCTATAGGAAGTGAAACATGACCTTTTGTTCCCAGTGTGCCACCATCTGTGTCAAACCTATTGACAAACCTTTGCTGGCAGGATGAAGCACTGCTTCTGTAGAAGCATCCTTAACATAATGCGCCTCTATAGCATTTGCCTGGACTGGTTTTGAAAAACAGCCTTTCATAATACAGAGATGAATTTAGCGTTTAAGAAGATTAATGGATTCATAAATAGCCTGGAAATCCAAACTCATTGCATTTAGTTCATGGAACAGGTCAAACAGGCATTTATCATACCATCTGCCATCTTTCTTCACTGAGGCAAAAAGCTGTGGTCTAACTACAGATAGCTGAAGGGCCATCCTGACAGGGATTGCCTGGTATTGACTGCTCTTAGAAATCCCTGGTGCTAATTACAAAGCAGCAAATCTTTTTGGACAGAGCTCTGCACACCAAACAAGGCAACCCCGAGGAACATGAAGCCTTTTTGGTGACAAAATGTATGGGCATACTCAGATGGGGGGAAAAAAAGGAGCTTCCATTTCAGGAAGCAGCTGCTGTGGCAGATTAGGAGTACACAGTTACTTTGTGTGAGTTCGTGTCAAGACAGTTTGCTACAAGGTCTGTGGGACACTTTGTGGGTTGTTCCCCCAGCGTGCTCAGCTAAGGGCACTGTTTGAAACCAAGGGATAAGCTCCTGGTCACAGCTGCTCTGGGCTGGCCGGTGGCAAAGACCTGGCCCAAGGTATCTGCAGATGCTCCTTATGGATTCAGTGATCCTTACATGTCCCTTCCAACTCGGGATACTCTATGATGCTATGATTCTAAGCACTGAGCCGTTTTGGAAGAAGTTTCTTGCATGAAACTTCCATGTCACCCAATACCGTTCAAAGGCCAAAGTCTATCTCTAGTTGTCCTGTCCTTTGCTTCTGTGTTTGAGTGGCCATTGGAGTGTGATACGAGGAAGCGGCAGGGGATGGGGAACTAATGGATGTGCCACCTCACACCAGGCTCTCATCTACAAATCTTGGGTTCCATTATATCCACAGGATCCCTGTCCTACCATACAGCAGCACTGACCCTCCTTGCTTTCTGCAGCTGAACAAAAACAGTTGTGTGTCAGAAATGGATGTGCCCAGGTCTGCCAGACCATGGATATCTTCAACATCTCAAGGCCAGGTTGGATGGGATCCTGGGCAGCCAGAGCTGGTGGGGTCAGCCCTGCCCACAACAGGGGTTGGGGTGGTTGGGCTTTGAGGTCCTTTCCAGCCCAAACCATTCTGTGATTCTATGATCTCTGAAGTCCATGTTTGCACTGAATTGTTTGTGAAAAAGCAAGGGTGGAGAAAACAAAGGTTTAAGGAAATGTTAGAAAGGGTAGTTTAAATGTATTTCCATTTTTATTCTGATTTTGTGACATTTTAGTACTAATAAGGGATTATATATGTCCTATCATTTTATATGAACATGTATACCACAATATGATAAGTTATGTATGTTAAGTATTGTGTGATAAATATTAATGACTGATAGAAATACAAAACAGTACAGCCTGTCTACATTTGTCATTGCCATATTCCACTCCTGCTATCAGGACATGAAATAACCTATAAATAAAAACAGCATATTCCTTGAAACAATATATTCATTGAAAAATGAATCGAGCATTTGAAACAGACATTGAGGAGTGAACTGTTGTGTTGAAAGCTTTTCCTTGGAGAAGATTTTTGACAAAAATGTGTGTCTCTGTTTTTCCTGCAGATGTCTCAGGATAGCAGGGAGAAGAAGAACAAAATCCTTATCTGACATCACACCCAAAACGCCATGCTCACCCCAGACCCTCCCCAAGTACCATCCTCCTGTTTAAAAGGGCCAGCAAAGTTTTGTAGCAACCCTGGGCAGTGCAAGGAAGGAACAAAGACTAAATGCTCCAGCAGGACGCATGCTTCAGGCAGCCTTTGCACTACTTGCTCTGGAAAATAACCACTGTAAGAAGTGCTGAGAGGTGGAAAGAGAAGGAGATGGCTTTGCTGCTGTCTTCCCTTGTGCCAGAAGTAACCCCATCAGTGAGTCCATCCAGTTGTGTAGCGTTACTGAAGACTTCAGTAGTGTTTGCCACCTCTTCAGGAAGGCCCATCTGAAGCAAGAGTTTAGAAATAAGGCTGTTGAACTTGCTCTCTGTGGTAGAGAAAGGCTCGCTGCTAGGAGTCGGACTGTCAGATGTGACATTTAGCTCCACGGGGTCAAGACAGTAACCTTCTGGTGATCTATCATAGAGCACATCCATTAGGTCAATCCCAGCTACAGAGGATGGGGAGGCACAGGGAATGTCCCTGACAAGTCTGTAGTTCTCCATCCACTCCTTCAGCCATTCAATGCGGCAGTCACACTCCCAGGGGTTGCGGAAGAGGTACAGCCGTCCCAGGAAGTACACAGGCTGGAAGACAGAGAAGGGCAGGGTCGTCAGGTTGTTGCTGTTCAAGTGCAAGGAGACCAGGCTGGTGAGGTTCTCGAAAGCCCCCTCCTCAATGTAGTTGATCCTGTTGCGGTCCAGATAGAGGACCTCCAGCTCCACCAGGTCCCTGAACCAAGTGTTGGAAACATTCCTGAGGAAATTCCCCCCTAGGTTGAGCATTTTCAGGCACCTCAGGCCATCAAAGGAATTTTCTGGAAGCTCGCTGATCAAATTGTCATTCAGGTACAGGTACTCCATCTTTCGGCAGCCCTGAAAAGCTCGCTCATGAACAACGTTTATCCTGTTGTCTTGCAGATTCAGGTATTTTAGCTTGGTCAGCCCCTGCAGGGAGTTGTAGGCTACCGCTTCGATCCTGTTTCTCTCCAGGTAGACATGGGTCAGATTCTCCATACCCCTAATGGCACCTGGGATCCTTCGGAAGTTGTTCTGGAAGCAGAAAAGCTCCTGCAGAGAGGGCAGCTCAATGAAGATCCTGTCTGGGATATTGAAGAGGTTGCAGTCCGCCAGGTCCAATTTGACCAGCCGCCTGAGAGCAGTGAATGTCCGTGTGTGCAGGTAGCGGATGTACTCGTTGTGGGCCATCTTCAGCTCTGTCAGGCTGGGCAGCCCTTTGAAAGCCCCCGGAGTGATGAAGGAGATATTGTTGTGGTTGAGGGACAGGGATTTAAGGGAAGGCAAAGTACCGAAGGCCCTCTCAGAGAGGAATTTGATGCTGTTTTTGTCCAAGTTAATAGAGGAGGCTTCGCAGGGGAATTCACTGGGGATCTGCCCCAGGCCAGCACGGTCACAGAGGACAGAGCAGCTCCGTTCCTGGGTGCACACACAGTTGGCAGGGCAGGACCGCACACAGGCCCACACCGCGTGGACATGGGGCACCCAAAGGATCACTGACAGCAAGGAATGTGCCGACCCCGTGAAGATGTGAGAAGAGAAAAACAAGAGACATTAGCAAACATATTAGTTATGACACAAGAAGAAATATTATGCTGCCTCTGCTCCCTTCTAGGCAGGCTAATTGTCACACAGTATTTGTATGCCTGTGCTAAGAAGCCCTTGTGAACAATTCCTAGAAGTCTGCTGGTGTTTATAGACTCTCTGGGAAAGTGTTAGTTCCTTACTGCATCCTTTCTGTGGAATTTCTTTCCCTGAGAGGAGAAATCATCCAGCTTGATTGGAGCAGGTTGCCCAGAGAGGCTGTGGAGCCTCCTCCATCGAGATCCTCAGAAGCCACATGGATGGCATCCTGGCCACTCTGATCTGGATGTCACTGCTGGAATGATGGCTGGGCCAGATGGACCCAGAGAGTACCCTCCAACACCCTGATTTCTCAGCATTCCCATGATTGCAAACTGGTGGGGACAAGGCTTGGCCACAGGAGCCTGCAAAAATGTTTTGAAAGACAGCAATTGTGGGGCTGCAGTATTTCTGGGTGGAGAACAGAGGAGGGCAGTCAGTGTATGCTGTTGATCTGGACAGGCTGGATCACTGGACTGAGGCCAATGGGATGAAGTTCAACAAGGCCAAGTGCTGGGTCCTGCACTTTGGCCACAACAACCTCAGGCAAACTCTACAGCTCTGAGGCAGAGTGGATGGAAGATTGTGTAGAGGAAACAGACCTGGGGGTACTGTTCAATGTTCAGCTGAGCCAGCAGTGTGCCCAGGTGGCCAAGAAGGCCAATGGCAGCCTGGCTTTATCAGAAATAGCATTGCCAGCAGGTGCAGGGAAGTGATCATCTTTCTGCACTCAGCTCTGGTGAGGCCACACCTTGAATATTGTGTTCAGTTTTGGGCCCTTCACTGCAAGAAAGACATTGAAGCTCTGGCAATGAAGCTGTGAGGGGTCTGAACACAAGAGGGGTCTTAAGCACAAGAGGGGTCTTACGGGGAGCAGTTGAGGGAACTGGGATTGTTCCATCTTCCATTGGAGAAGAGGAGGCTCAAGAGAGACCTTATCGCTCTCTACAAGCATTTGAAAGGAGATGAAGGTCGACCTCTTCTCCCATGTAACTAGAGACAGGACAAGAGAGAATGGCCTCAAGTTGCATCAGGGGAGATCCAGGTTGGACATTAGGAAGTACTACTTTTCCAAAAGAACGGTCAGGTGCTGGAACAGGCTGCCCAGGGTGGTGATGGATTTATCAGCCTTGGAAGTGTTCAAGAAACATTCATATGTTGTACTGAGGGACATGGTTTAGTGGGGAATATTGGTGATGGGCGAACAAATGGTTGGATTGGATGATCTTGGAGATCTCTTCCAAAATTTGTGATTTTATGATTCTTTTCCAGAAGTAGGCAGGGGAGATCAGTTAGCGGCCTGCGGCAAGTCAGTGTTCATGCTTTTTGCATCTTTCATTTTTATTCAATCTTACATTTCTCCTCCAAAGCTGTGAGCTGCTGCAGCACTTCAAGGGAAGTTATCACCTGCTAAGGGTGCTGCTGTGTTCCATTAGACAGACACGAGGAAGGCCAGACTCAGGAATATTGTTCAGATGCTTTCTTAGTGCTCTCCCCACAAATGAGATACTCTGTACCATTCATGGGATCACAGATTCATAGAATCATTAATGTTGGAAAGACCACTGAGATCATCTAGTCCAACCATCAGCCCATGCTTGTGACAGCTCTAGACCATGTCATTCAGTGTGACATTACAGTTTTGCCAATTCTCAAGACAGTCGCCATAGTGTCATGGGTTTGGTGGGAGGAAGCACTTCCAGTCATTTTATCAGTCTACCACCTGAGTGATGTGTGGTTTCTTGTCAAGTTAGTCCCAAGCAGGTGGATGTCCAAGAAGGTGAAAGCTGTTGGGGACAAATCAGAGAAGAATGAAGGGAACAAGAGACATCAGCCAGCACACACTGGAACTTTTTGTGGAAAGAAACTCCTAGCAGCAAAATGACTAAGCAATGAACTCGTTAGAGAGCAGGAAGTGAATACTACAGATCTGACTTTGTAACCTCTTTCAAAGACACACCTTACCTGCTTCTCACCCAAATGGTGGTTTTTCTGCTGCTGTTCATTGCCTGTCACAAAAGCAAAATCCTTTCATACATTTTTCCACAGGAAATTATATAATCTTTTCTATTAACCACCTTTATTAACAGCATTGTAGGGACCACATGAGTGCTGCTGCATGCCTGGTGAGTCCCAGGGGCCAAAGGGCAAGAAAGGGGCTTCTCCCCATGCTCTGTCTCACTGTCTGAGGGAGCTGAACCACCTCTTCCTGCTGCCATGTAGTACAGTAATGGCCCACTACAGCTGGATTCCTCACTACACTTTGTTCCTTATTAAGCTGTGTTCCTTATTAAGAGAGACTTGTGAGATGATATGCAAGGAAGGATCACCTTCGGCAAGCATCCATTTGTTATTTTCACAGCACTCAAGGCTTTACTGCACAGACCAAATGGCAGAGTGAGCAATAATTGCTCTGCCCTTCATCCTTTTGGAATGCAACACACATAGTATTGTATCTGGTAGTTTGCAGTGTCTGAAGTTTCTTCAACTAGGAGCAGGTGCCCATTGACACCAACCCAGTAGCCTCCCCACCCACGCCAGCCCAAACTGTCCCTTGGTCACTGGGCTGGAAGGCAGATTGAGGTAAATGGAGGGCGCATCCCAGAAGGACTTTAGCTCTGACTTCTGTTGGAATCAGGTCCCACCAAGCCTGGCCACGCTATGCTGACTGGAGAATTAGCAAAACAGGGACACTCAAGAAGAAACAGGGAAGGACTTGGAGAGGTGGGAAGGATTTTATGCAGTCTGACATTTCTTCATATTCTCTTCTCCTTTTTTTCCTAAACCCTTCTACTGACTAGCGGGGTACTGGGTAGGTAATGAACAAGGATCCTAGGGACAAGACTGGGGACAAGGCAGTGGCCTCGGTTGGCTCTGTTTTGCACAGGGGCTGTGTCTTTTGCTTCCCTCTTCACCATTCCTCAACACTGTATGCAAACAGGGGCATATGTTGTTTCTTTGATGCTGTTACATAAACTGAGGTTCAGACAGATTAAGGATTTGCCTGTTCCCAAATGTTTGGCTGCAGGTGGCTGTCTGGAAACAGCTAATGGAAGTACTGTTGCTGGAACAAGAGCCTCGCACGGGCTCACAATGACATCCAGGGGGACATATGTGCATAGATTGCCCCATATGTGAGGCTGTCCCAAGCAAGCTCAGCATTCAGCTACATCTACTCCTACCTTGATCCCATCTATGGCCTTTGGAGCAAACCTCCCCCAGCAGCTATGTGCACCGTGTGCTGAGTAGAAATGAGCAAAATTCTCTCCTTCCCCTCCCTGCATGCTCTCTAATCTCTTGATAAAGGAGATGTCTGCATCCAACCCATTTTCCAGCATGTTCTCCTTAGGCACAATTTTTTTAGAGCCAAATCTGTGTCTTCTGCTAGTGGCATTTCACAGCACACATCTAAGATCTACAAGTGTAACTTGCTCTGTGCAGTACATGGAAAGCAAATGTTTGAGGAGCAGCCAACTGGAAAACATCCCCCAGGCAACAGGAGTTCAGAGGAGCCCCTCAGCACCTTTGTTGCATTCTCTCTTTTTCTCATGCAAAGGAGGTGTTCCCAAATCCCCCCTCCTGCAAGCACAGGAAAGCAGTCTCACCTGACAGTCAGATCTCTTCTGACCAACACAGCATGAAACATCCCACCTTGCCACCCTTAGTCCTTCCCCCTCCCCACAATGGATGCTATTTGCTTTTAACACTGTCAGACAGAGCGGCAGCTGGTGATGCCTCCAACTCATTGACACAGTGTGCAGATAAGATGTGTGTGTGTTTTTGTTTTTTTTTAAAAAGGGTGGAATTCAGCATTAAGGTAACAAATATTAGTGAGATTAAGGAATAGAAAAATTCCACCCAGGAATGATCTCTTCCGCTCTTTTAAATAACACCATAATTTGAAAGAATGAGAGATCAAAAAAGCGTTTGCCAGAGATTTTAGAAGGGTGAAGAAGCAGTGCTTGCAATAATTCCATATCTAACCTACAGAACAATCCATTCAACCCACTACTGGGTAATGCAGAATAAGAGAGCTACTCACCATTTAAAATGATGACAAACATTACCTTGATTATTCGCTAGTGGCATTTCAGGTCTGGCAAGCAAACTTGGGGGATCTAAAAGCACACAGGAAGAGCAGAGAGAGGTTTCACCCTCTTGTTTGCCTGCATCATTTTCCCATTGCCAAGTCTATATTTACAAAGAAGATTGAGGAAGAGGGTACTCTTGCATACGGCTTCTGACGGTCCCCAGCACTCCACACGTCCCTGCCGGGTGCCTTTCTTCCACCATCCACCTTCTCAGCCAACCCTGCAGGTTTTCCTTCTCTCCAGCTGTGCTGACAGTGTGCTCCTAGCTGAGGTGGGAAGAGATCACCAATGGTCAGGGACTGGCCACCTCCCCAGGCAACAGATGCTGGCATCACACCGAGCAGCCAAAGCTATGATTCCCAACAGAAAGCACCTACAGACATAGCTTACCTGGCTGGGCAGTGGCTGTGCTCTCCCTCCTGCTCACAAGGATGCCATTAGCTGCATTCTGCCTCTGGGAATTTGGCATTTTTTTTTCTCACAAGCTATCATTTAATGGCAGGAAAATCCTCGATATCAGAGGGAGATTAGCGGAGATGGAAGAACTCGTCCGTCCCCTAAAGCTCCAAAAGCAGAACAGGGATTGCAGGCAATCTAAACCAGTGCTTTCTCCCCCTGCCAACCCACCATAAAAAAATTAAGCCCAGAACTGAACTGCTGCCATTCAAACAGCATTATCAAAAGCCATTACTTCGCAGCCCATTAGATAATGGCTGAGGAGGTGGGGGCAGAGGGTGCAGCCTAAACATGATTATATTTGGGGACAAGCACAGGCTTAAGGCTGCAGTTAATTGAGCTTTCCAAATAGGATGCCAATAAGCTTAGCTC